CTGCTGTACAAAGCAGAGAAAATAAAACACTCAGAAGCCTGACTCATAGGGGAAGGGAAGGGTGGGGAGTGACCGCTAATGGATACAGCATTTCTTTGGGGGATGATGACAATGTTCTGAATTATACAGCAAAATATTCTAAGCCATTGAATTACTTTAAAAGGATAAACTTAATGGTATGCAAATTACTTCTTGATACAATTGTTATTTTAAAAGGGGCATATCTCACAGCTGATCTCTCCACAAATCGTAGTAGTTGTTACTGTTATTGATCAGTGGAAGTTGAGTATCCCTTATCTGAAATCCCTGGGAGCAGAAATACTTCAGATTTCAGATTTTGGATTTTAAAATTAAGGACATTCAACTCGTAATACCTATTCTTAAAATCCTTTATAAGAGTTTCACCTTTTACCTTTTTCATCACGTGTCCGCACCCTGGTTGTGAGTCGCATTTGAAATGGGAACCATAGGTCACAGGCCTTTGGGTCTAGCCCAGTGCCTTGCACCTGGCGGAAGACCCTGAGTATTTGTTCCATTTGTATGTGTGTAGTTCACATGGAAATTACTTATTAAAAATAAGTGTTATGGTGCTCATGTGCCTGCCAATGTTGCTGCCATCACTGCTTATCAAACATATATAAGGTGGGATATTACTTTTACCCATGAGCTCCTCTGAAAAAAAAAAGGACTGAAATTAAATTTCATGCCAACCACCTTTCTGACTTATGATTGACAGCATGATATTGAGACCAAAAGTCCTTTTCCAGGAAATTCAATTAGCAGTGGAACACTGAACTAGCCAAGATAATTCGTATGTTCTAACCACTATCTTATAACAGGTAGTCAAATTCCTTGTGCCACTATCCTGCTTGCCTGGGAGTAGTAAGAAAATCATAAGAACAACCACATTAAGCTGTGTTATTGCCCAATGCACCACTGCTTCGCAGATTAAAAATTGAATTTTCAGAAGGACAAAAACTTATCTTGAGGGAATATAGATCTCCTGAGTTTTTGCTATGAAAGCTAACAAAATCAATTTAAAATCTGAATAGATTCCTCTTCGTTTCCATGCAAGGAAAAAAAACAACAGGACTTCAAACTTTAAAGGAAGGCTGTCAATTTTGATGGCATCCACTCATTTCTCTAATTCTTGTCTTTTCTACTTCTGTGTTTTCCCTTTCCAAACAGTTTTGGGAGAAGCACGAAAGCATGGGGTTGATTAAGTCCAGCTTAGACAGGTTCTAACTTGATCCCCACCACTGTCTTAGGCCATATAGGCACTTGGGGCAGTGGGGATAAAGGTCAGGGGAGCAGCTACGTGAGAATCAACTGAGAATTTGTTCTAACAAGCACGTAGCTGAACTAAGATCCTAAGCGATCTAGCCAAAATAAGCGGGGGCCCTTATCACCCTTAATGCCCCCTTTCTTCTGCTCCAGCCACGTGCATTGGCTGGTCAAGGGCCCTCCTTCTACTGTCCTTCAGTCTCCATCTTTCCCAAACACTGGAAACTCTCCTCTGATCTTTCCCTACTTCACCAAGTGGGAAAAAATTCCTCATTCAGAGTCTGCTGGATTTAGATCCCATAGTTTGAGACTCTTCCAAATCCACGTTTACAACTAAATATCTATGACATTCAACTTAAAACAGATTGTATCCCCCTTATCTAATTTGGGACCATAGAGGGCTATGAGAACATCAAATTTTTACATCTCAGAAAACTTGAGTGCTTGAATTTTGAAGCCAGTGTTGTTTCCAGCAATCTTCTGTGCTAAATGATTAATTATACCCAAGATAGTCCAAGGCAATTATTTAATTATGCTCTATTAAAGGTTGCCAATTTTGTGGAGCAAAGGAGAGGCCTTCACCCCTATTTCTCAACATCTGGCCTTTGGATAACTTAAAAGATAAAAGGAGACATGAGAACATTTTTATAACCAAGTTATAATTTCTAGAAATTTTCCACTAAGTAGAAAAACTTTTTCATAATTTACTTCTCATGATTAGAATGTGGTGACATATTTCACTGTACGTCTTCAGCTTCTTTAAGTAAATGGAAAATACAAAATGCTACAATTCAAAATGAAATGTGGGTGCCTGCCTTAGTTACTCTTCTCACTGTTGGGACAAAATACCCGATACCCAAAGTTAAAGGAAGAAAGGTTTATTTAGCTCACAGTTTGTAGAGGTTTCAGCCTATACTCTGCTGGCTCCAAGGCAGAGTGGCATGGCAGACAAGCATCGCAGAGGGACAGTTCATGGTGGGCAGAAGGCAACAAAGCAAGCAAGGGAGAAGAGAAGCCTATTTTTGTGCTTTATATTTTATCCAGGCTACCAAGATCAGGGCAGTGTCAATCCAGTCAGTGTACTGATTCAGTAATCACCCACCCTTAATCCTAGCACTGCATATACTCTAGATTCAGCCACCTCTGAAAAAGCCCCACCTATGACTTTGAGGGGAGCCACAACAGTGTTCTGTGTTATGGCTAGACACAAGCCATAACAGTGCAAACTTCTTTCAAGGATAGAAAAGCCTGTTTTCTAGTGCATCTATATTTCCCCTTCATTTGTGTTCATTCCCATTTTCCCTTTGACTATTTTTTAAGGTTTTCTTCTTAATTTAGATTTCTTAGACATTAATAAATAAAGTTCCTTGTTACCCATTCTATGCTTAGAAGTGTCCATTTTATTTCAGAGAGAGACTCATGCCACCCCACAGAGTTGATAACCAGAGTCGTACCTGAATGATCAACTTGGTGATGATCACAGATGCTAGTTTGTGGTGGGGGTGGGGATAGAACAGCTACACACAATGACTTTTAGGTAAACTGTAGGATTTGAAAATAACCAAAAATTCTTCGGTTACTCCAAACTACTTTACACTTGCCAGCTCTAAATGGTTAAGAGTTCTGCTTCTTCATACAGCACAACTTCACTCTCCAGGGATTTCTGGCAGTTCCTGTCTTGGTGCTGTCCTCTTACTCAGGGTAAGAGCATCCCAGACATGATCTTTCTGTTTCTCCCACTGCCTGTGACATCTCCCAGGCCAGGACTAATGGATGGACCTGTTGAATAGTAATGCATTAATTAGTGTGTGTTTGTTCACCAGCCCTGCTCAAAATAACTGACCAGGTTAAACCTCTTCCTTCCATACTGTTTGAGTGTGGAAATAGTGCCGCCATTTATTAAAACTTAAAAGTGGTTATATAGTCACCTACCAATGAGCCATCAATAAGCAAGGGTGAGTGAATGACTGAACAAAACAGATGAGCAATAATAAAAGACCCAGGAAACAAGCTTAGATTGACTGAGGGAAGCCAGTGGAAGGTGTATCGTTGACAGGTGTTTCTTAAAGACAGAGCTGTCCTCAAACTCTTAGGTTGACACAATATAAATTTTGTGTTAGAACTAATGGCCTCAACCTGGAGTCTATGGGCTCATGTGTCAAAAAACAGTTGAATCACTGTGTTAGGAATGTCCATATATAGTCAGATGATTTTGTATGAAAATATTGTGTGTCAGGGGCTGGGGATTTAGCTCAGTGGCGCAGCACCTGCCTGGCAAGTGCAAGGTCATGAGTTCAATTCCCGGTACTGGAAAAAAATATATATATTGTGTGTCTCTAAAGTGCAGAGATTGTGGTCACCTAACAGGTGCTAGATATATGGAATTCGTAGAGCTGCTACAGACTATCACTCAGACTTTCATTTCTCTCAAGAAAACCTTTCTTTCAGCATCTAGAGGTACCTTTTAAGTTAAAGCCCTCTGCTGTCCCATGTTAGAAAAGAAAGAAATAAAAACTAAATTCCAACCAAAGTTCCCTATCACTTGAAAGATGCTGACACCCTTAGGCTAACATCTAAGGGCATGGTCTCAATTTGGAGCCCCACAAGGTCAGTCAGGTGCCCTGGTCCATGGTGCAATGCTATCTCACTTCTGCCACTTAGAATGCTTAGTTAGTCTGTACATGTTTAAAAAGACTTCATACTTTTATTTCTAAATTTTGGTTCAAAGGATTTTTTCTTAGTTATTGTCATTCCCAGAAAAAAGTATATTTATCTTCGTGTAGGACTTCCCTAAGGTTTTTAGTCTTTGGAATAACACATGATCTGCAGCCTGAGCCATGGCTCTGCCCTTATTGATCATAAGAAATGCCACTGTTCAACCACTAAGTGGGCCCTCTACTGGCTAAAAGTTCTTCCCAGATGGCATAGCAACCCTGAGAAATAGCTACTCTTATCTCCATTTTACAGATGAAGCTATCAGAGTTGAGTGAGATTAAGGGGCTAGTCAAGCAAACACAAATAGCAAGTAGTAGAGCTGGAATTCACATTTGAAGCTTGCAGACTCCAGAAGCTGCCTTCTCACCCACGGCTGAGGCATCTCCTCTCGGTGTTCCTTGATTCTGTGAAGAGCTGTCCACTGAGTCCAGAGGCCTGACCTTAGCCTCCAGTGAACAATTTGAATGCTTTGGGTACTTATACTGGTTCTTTATTTGCTTACCTCTTACAAATGAAATACGATTTTATACGTATATACATAAGTTTGCATTCATTCTTATATCTGAGTCTCTTCAAATATTCAGGAAATATGTCTGATCAAGATAATGATTTAGATGTAGGATTGTCCTTAAGAAAGAGAAAACTACAGATGTCTGAATCATGTCTGCTAATTCAAATATAGTTGTTGGCAGATGAAACATCATTTCTCCGACTCTTCATCCTGGCAACGTTTTGGGGGCATTAAAAAAAGGACATAAAGGCAAAATGCAACCTATTCTTTACCATAAAGTATTTCAAAGGAAAAATTCTTCAGACTTGTTTTTTAAAACATTTGCAAAATGAAGTTGGCAGGAACACATGGTACAGAAATGTCCTTTCTGTTTAAAACCTGAGAATATAAACTATTAATTTCCTTTTTCCCTCCCACATTAAGAATGATATCTTAAACTTAAAAATTAATTCTTAAAACATAATGTTTTTTCTTATTTCTTCTTCAACAGGGGACTTATTATGTTTGAAGATCAAACCTATATCTTAGAACCAATGAAGAATGCCACCGACAGATACAAACTCTTCCCAGCGAAGAACCTGACAAGTATCTGGGGGTCCTGTGGGTCACATCATAATACATCAGGCCAGGCTGCGTATGACTCCTTCCCAGCATTCTCTCAGACAAGAGCAAGAAGGGTAAGAGGGAAGCCCAAATTCACATTTTGGGGGAGTTGGGGGCTTAAACTACGGGCACCAGTGCTAGGAGATCTTGAGAAATTTTGCCCCTGGATATTCTGTCAAGGACCTGCAAACACTCATTTGTCAGAAGGTGGTGAACACCATGGGCCAGACCATAATCATAGACTGAAATCTGCATCCCTATTACAAATGTCAGTCTCATACTCATTAAAACATTCTGATAAATTCACATCATCAGGGTCGGGGGATGACAAAGTCACCATTCATCGCATTTTGTGATGGTGCATGTGATGGGTGTAGACCCAGCATTGAGCTCCACCATGGCAAATGACAAACATGGGCTGTGGCCCACTCTCTGGCTGCTCTTCTATTTTTTTTTGTTTTTTCTGTTTGTTTGTTTGTTTTTGTTTTTCTTCTGGTACCAGGAATCGAACTCATGACCTTGCACTTACCAGGCAGGCACTTTTGCCACTGAGCTAAATCCCCAGCCCCTCTGGCTGCTCTTCTAGTAGAAGAGAAAGGTCAGGTGGAGATTTCTTCATTTGCAGTCTGCTTTACCATTAGGTTCTCATAATAGGTTACAGGAAAGGCTCCATCTTTGCCCACCTGCCTGTACATAGACACACGAGTCCTTGTCTGTGTGGTTTTGCTAAGGAACGTTGCTTACCTGCAGGCCACACTGAAATGCCTATCCTTGCTGCTCTTGGGACTGCAGCAGTCTGTGCTTTCTGGCCACCTGCCCTGGCTCTGCTCACAGGATGTCTCCTCTGCTGCAGCACTGGAAAGAGTGGTTATCAATGCAGACCTTGCTGCAGACAGACTCCCCTCCCTGATGCTTTCTGTGGACCAGCATGGATCCATTGCCCCAATGACTGCCTGTCCTTTGACATTTGCATAATGTGGGCTGTACAGGCCACAGTGGCGCTCCATTAGCAAGGAGAAAAAGTATCCCCCCTCCCATTAGATTGGAGGCCATAAATTTAAATGTGTGACCGGATAGGAAATTATCATCAATTGCCTGATATTTTTATGTCTGCATTTCCTGTTCCTCAACTGACCAGAAATTTTTAAAAATCAAAGATCTGATGTCATTCATGCTAACATTTGACCATCAGGGGACATGATCTTCATGTTTCTCATTACTTTTGTCTCTCTTAACTGCTTTGAATAGACCATTGCTTAACATTCAACATTTCATGAATATTATTCTTGGTTCATTCTAAATCCTTTTCATAAATTCAAACAGTTAGGCTTATCCTACATGATTTCTTTTCATTCCTAAAATTCTCTTCATACCTATGGATAAGTGTCTGTTCCCCTAAACTGCTCTCAACTGAAAAAGTTCAGGACGCTTGAGTTTAATTTTCCATGCATTCTTTCTGAACAGGTTTCTGTCTGTGTGGCCCTAACCTTTGTTACTGGCTTCCAAGGTTTTCTATGGCAGGTACCTGAAACCTCTTTTTCTTTTTCTTTCATTTTTTTTCTACCCCATTGCAGGACAAAAGAGCTCCCCTATCAGCTGCTGTGGCTCACTTTCACATTGATGTGATGGGCGGGGCGCGGGGCTGATCTGAATCCCAGAGACCAGAATTTGAAAATACTTAACAGCAGCAGCTCAGCACTTCCCCTCTGCATGTCTCCCCGTCTCCCTCTTGAGTGACAGATTTAAGAGCTGGAATCATCTCTGAGGTTCCATGCATGCTTATTTCACTCTTCAAATACGTGTGTCTTTGACTCCAGACCTTGGACAAGATGGGATTAAGCTGTAGCTTTACTAGTCATGAACAAGCAGAACATTTGCATTTTGTTTTCAGGCCCTTTGCTTTAAGTACCTTGTTGAATGCCTGTTATTGATGTTATGTGATTTATAACCTGACAGCTTAAATGACACTCAGATATGTTTGCCATTTCATTGAGAAGTACAAACTTGATCTGTACTTGCCTACCATATTTTAATTCTTTAAGCATACAGCTCTCTAGAACTATGATTGGCACCATAATTTCCCATCATTTTGACTTGCAGAGAGACAGGGAGAACCTGAATAATGATGCTGTTTTATTAATAATGCATACTGAAGTGTAAATGAACCTTTAAATTGAAAAGGCAGCAAAGGCATCCATGCTGTTCACCTCAGTTCTTTTGCTATAGAAATAGTTGTTTTCATGCAAGAGAAAATGTCCTTGACCTAAACTCCTTGTATATAATGAAAATGGTACAAAAATAATTTTCAAACGAATGGAATATTTGGGAATAGAAATTACCTAGATTATTTCAGATAACACCTATGATAAATATGAAAGTATGTATTCAAGTTATATGCCACCTACCTGTCTTACTTGTGCTGCTTTTATTTTATGCTAAAAAAAAATCAATGTAACTGCAGCTAATTAATCTTGTTTATGCAGCACAACAACTGTGCTTGCCTTTTTCTAGCATTTCCCTGCCCCCACTAAATGTTAACTATTGCAAAAGATTGGATTGCAGACTCTGGTTTTTTTGCAGAAGTTTGCTCTTTTCTTTATAGAGCATGAGGAATCAATCAGTACTCAGAGGATACACCAGCTATACTATAATCCTAGGCTATTGTTTGTCATTTTTACAAGGCTGTACATTAGATGTTAGCACCCTCATTGCTTCTGGAAGGGTACAGAGAGACAGGAGCATCATAGCCTCCTCTCCCCCTCTGCAGGTTTTTTAAGTCCGATCTGAAGCGTTCTCACTGCTCAGCTCACCTGCATGGACTCCTTCTCTCTCCATTGGCTCTGCATTCAAGAATAAAAACTAATTTCAACATCCACTTTGGCAAGCTATAAGGGAGGCAGAGGCTAAATCTGCTACTGGAGAAAATCACATAATACATCCCAAAGGCAAATGGAAATTACTGTTGAATTATCCTTTCTTTAGGGATTATCTCTACCATTGTTCCCCTCCATTAGTATGGATAATTATGAGTCAAATATAAAAACTGCTGCCTGCTCTGCAAAGAGAGGTTTGCTTGGGCTACTGGATACATTCAGGCCAGTGAGGTAGGGAGATGCTGCTGTGCATCCTCAGACACAGCAGTGCTGAGATGATTGGTGCCATGATAGGGAAAAATGGGAAGTAGTGTCTTCCACTGCTTTTGTGTCTCCAGACAGTATTGCATCTGGTTAGTAGGAGCCGCAATATGGTAGCAGCTTTATAATGGTAATATCTAGCACAGGTAGCATTGCATAGTAAGTAGCTGAGTGTCAGGGACTTACCAGAATCACTAGAAAGCTCATTAATTATATCAGGAATGTTTAATTCCTCTCTAACATAACACAACATCCTCACCTCCATACCTCCCCTAAGACTGTATCAAGTTCTCTTTCTGCCCTGGCTATTCTTAAAGTGTAGGGAGGGAGGGAGGGAGGAAGCACCACTTCCTGGGCTCTGAATATCTGTCCGTGTGAGTTGTGGCTCCACATTTCCAGGACTGGGTTCCCATGGAGTCTCAAATCCACTACAACTGTGGATAAATAAATAACAGATTGCATTCTTGCCATTGCTCTTTTGGACCTAATTTCACTACTTCCCGTTTTTCCCTATTGATATTTGCCTATCAGATTCAGCCCACTCTCCTGGCTTGTGGTCTCATTCACTTGCTGGTTCTGCCAGCCCATGCATTAGCCAGGCCTCCGAGGCTGTGTCCCACAAGGCTATGGTCAGTGTGGATCATCCCCATGCCAATCACTGGCACGTGGTGGTGATGCCCTCTGATAAGAGCGCAGGGCTCCACTTGTCCATATGCATGAAGTGATCTTGCAGTGGGGCATGGAGATGAGCTAGTAGTGATGTTTCCTTGCTCAGGAAGAGAAACCAAACTTTTGGTTCATCTCATTTGCTGATCTTACCAGCAATAGAAAGAGTGGCCTGGGTCATTATTACAGTTATCTTGTCTGGTGATATCACACCCATCTTGAATGTACTTGCACATCCGCACAATCTGGAGACTGTCCCTGATGCTACAAACCATCGTCAGCACCCTCCCTTCTCCCCATGCTGCAGCACAGCTTCCTGCCTGCCCTCACTGCCCTCACAAGCTCCTCCCAGCTGCCAGAGTGATGTTTTTTAAGTCTCACATTCTGGGGCTCCCACTGCTTTTCAATTATTAGATTACCTCCTTGTCCTGGCCTCTATCCCCACTTCACTCCCTCCCAAGATGCCAGCCATGCTGCCTAGGGCTACAGCACTGCCCACTCTCCTCTCCTCCACCTCAGGACTTCTGCTGATGCTATTCTACCCAGCTGAAATACTGTTCCCAGAACCCTTTCCACACATACTTCTCACCTTCCAGAGCTCAGCTAACTTAGCATTGGCCCTATATTTATCCTTACTGAAAAGCCCTGTTTATTTCCTTTGTTTCACAGACTTTTATCCTTGTGAATCCTTCTCCCAGTCCCACACTAAAATGTGAGCTTCATGTGGGCAGGAACCTTGGTCTTGTGCATCCGCTTGTCCCCAGCACCCAACACAACAGCTGGTGCACAGCAAGCTCCTTGTATGTAGACCTGAGAGATGAAGGAATGCTCTGCACATAGTATGTATGGAGAAGGGATTGCTGTAGGAACTCACTGTAACCCTCACCCAAGCTTGCTTTTCTAATGGAACTGGGTTAAGTTCTCAGGGCCAGAGCTCATTACAGGATGTTTGGGGGATGGTCTGTCCCTGGGAACTTGGCTCCAATGACTTTGAGAACTGCTTCTCTTTTAAGCAAGACTCAGGATTGCTTCTTTCCTCACCTTGGAGTGGGGATTGTTGGGGCATTCCCAGAACTCAGGTTCCTGTTTGTAACTTCCAAAATGAAAATTCAGCCAAGCGACTGGTTTTAAGTACCGTTCGCCATATCACAAATTTACAGTCTGATTCCTTTTTGTGTTTTCAACTGGACAGGCTAGATAGGTGGAAGTCATGTGGAGGTAATTTAAGCCTCTGTAAGTGAGAGCAAACCTTCATGGCGCAGAGCCGGCCACTCCCCCGTGGCTTTTTATTATGATGTGGTTAAGCTTCTCTCTGAGCTTGCATTTCTCTGAATTCATGAGAAAATGTGGACTTCTCTGAAAAGTGCAGAGACAGGAAAATTGTGTTCATGTGTTTGTTTTCATTATCTGGAATTGTGTATTTTCTAAATGATGATCTGAGGCCAGTTGGAAATATCCTCTGGTCGTTGATTTCACCCTCCGCTGTCTGAAAAGCATAAATGTCTAAACAACTGAAGCCCTTTCAATAGTATTTTTCTTGATGCAAGATTAATTTCTTTTTTCATTTTCTGAGCTATATTGTCTTCTGCCTAATCTGCTGATTTGTTCTGTTCCTGATTAATCAGGGAACAGCAGTAAGAGAGATGTCTGTTTCTTTGACCCTTCGGTAAGGAAAAGAGGCAAGACACTTCCAAAAAGTGTCTCATTTTGTTTGCGTGCTTAGACACCACGGGGGCTTAAGTTGTTTTCCTTTATACATACATAGTTATCACCATAAAACTTGCTATCCATACAACTACAAAGCCTGACACTTTTTTCCTTGCAACATTGTAAAAATATGAGAAATTATACTTTTCATGGTGTTTTATTTTCCCTTCCTCCACGAGGTTTCCAGATTTCTTTGGGGACACCTAAATTCATGAATCAGCACAGCTGGGCGGCAAGCAGGAACACCGCTATAATACAAACATTTTTCTTGTAAAAATCTGTTTGGAAGATCCTGGACTGATGGGGATTTGTTTTATAAAAGATGTTTCCCTCAGGATTATGTGACTGGAAGTCTGATTCAAAGCATGCTTTCCTCCTTTTTGCTTTTGTCTGAAAGAGTGATTAAAACATGCAAGTGCTCCACTTACGCACAGTATGTACTTAACTCATAAACTGGCCATCTCAGTCAGGGGGACCAGAGACCAGCCCGACCCCCACTTCTTCCAACCACATGTTATTGCAGAAACAGAAGGTTTTGGGTTTTGTTTTTACTGTTTGCTTTTTGAGACCACCCTCTATGAATTGCTTCATTTCTCCTCAAAATGCCTTTGGGATTCCCCCAGTAATTCACGGAAGAGTGTGAATGCTTTTAGAGGAGGCTTGATTAAAACATAACCCATTTCTGGGGCCGCTTTATTTGGGATCCATATTTCTGCTGCCGGAATCTTCCCCGTCCCTCAGCCTTCATACATAGTTTCCGTACTCTTCTCAACTGCTCTACTCTTGGCAAATCCCTACTCTGCAGCAGCGTATTCCTGTCTTATTTCTTATTTTCTCTTTCTCTTTATTCCTTTATGTTTTTCTCATAGTACTTCTTTCTGGCTTTTCTGGGCATCAGCCTGGCTGTTCCCTTTTCTCCAGACCAGGCCAGTCTTCCATCACTTCTAGCTAGGTTTTTAAATGATCAACCACAAGTATAAACTCCCTGGAATGGACTTCTCAGGGTTCCCTCAGGATTATGCAATTTCTGTCCAAAAATATATTTTTCGCCACTTTTCTCAAATTCCAAAGCAGGTACATTTGGATCGTAGAGGTGATGAGAACACCCACGACACTGAATTCCCTGTGTTTAGTGACCATCGCATGTGCTACCTGTGGTCTGAAGGGAGGCGCCATTGACCGGCTCCCCTTCTAAAGAGAGACTGGCTTTTGTTTGTTAATGTGCTCATTGTATTCAATAGTGATCTTGACATTTACTGATCTACAATCAGTGATTCAGCAGGAAGGTTAAACTCCTTTTTATGATTTCTCAAGTGGAAATGAAAACTAATCACTCATGCTGAAAAGATTTTACAAAAGATGGTTGGGACTGGGGGTCAACTTCTAGATGGCATTGGGTAAATGAGCCTGGTGGGGATAGATCTCACCTTCCAGTGGTTGGGGTGAAGAGATATTGACAGTGTTCTGGAGTCCCTAGACTTACGTTAAGGGAAATTAAATTTACTTTTACTTTTGGCAGCATAAAAGAGAGACCCTCAAGATGACCAAGTATGTAGAGCTGGTTATTGTAGCAGATAACCGAGAGGTAAGAACTTTAAAAAATTTCTCAGTACAGTTTGCCAAATAAAAGGAAGTGTTTAGTAAGTTATTACTTTCTTTAACTTTATTCTGTATACATTCTTGAATGTATTGAAAACTCATTGAAAAGTGGTTTTCTGGTTTTATAAAGCATACAATATTAAAAATATATCTGATGTTATAAAATAAAAAGCAAAGCCTGCAGAAAAAGAACAGAGTTTTTCTTTAGCTAAGCTCTCCAAACAAGGAAAATGATTTGAGGGAAATGATGGATGGCTTTGCATTGTATTTTGAAACATTTTTTTTTGGAAGTTAAGTTTTTGAAGTGTCAGTTATGTCCTAAACCAGGATGAGTAAATAAAGGAAGGCTATAGAGAACAGGGCAGAAAAATCCTACCCTCTTAAGGTATGGTTTAGTACTATATCAGTTTTTCCTTTTAATTAATTTTGAATTTGTTCTCTCTTAAATTATCTTCTCTGCATTTATGTATGGTCTCCTAACATAGCGTGAATCAGGTAATACTTTCTCATAGACTCATTCAAGACACATGAATGGAAAAAAGAGTGACAATTTCTCAGAAAAACGTTCCTCTTCTGGAAGGTCAGATTAGAGAAGAGAATAGGGAATTTATTAACTTTTTATCCATTCTCCTATGTACTGTTTGACACATTGCCACGAGCTCCTATTGTTTTTACTATTTAATTTTTTAAAACAAATACAAAGAAAGTTTCTCAGGAAGTTAAAATCAAGTTGATGATATGAAAAATGGCTTTGGATTGCCTTCTCATTGTCTGTTTTCTCTTTGCCAAGATGTGTCATTGGTTCTGTTATTTATGACGCTGGAAATATTGCAGAAGTTATTGTCTTAAAGCACTTGGCGTGGTGAATTTCAGGGAGTTTCAGGGAGTCCCCAACTGGGGAAATGACTCTGGATGTGAGCGTCCTTCGCCGTAAAACACGGAAGGCCCCGGGTGGTTTGTAAAAAGCCCAAGACTTCACATTTCCAGGAGCTGGGAGGATGAAATTTGATTGATATTCTTGCTGTTATTAATGCTGACACTTAAAATTGTTAAGTTTCAGAGGCAAGGAAAAGATCTGGAAAAAGTTAAGCAGCGATTAATAGAGATTGCTAATCACGTTGACAAGGTAAGTTCTTTTCTGGGTAATTAAATCACTCAAATCATGTAAATGTTTGGAAATGGGGTTGAGAGAATAAAGTTCACCTCGTCTGACTTAGCAGGGAGACCAAGCTCTGCTTCCAGGTCCTGGGCTGGGACTGGGAGTATATTGTCTTCTGAGTGTCCCAGGTCTTGAGTAGGTTTGGATCGCTTCTCGGCCTTTTGGCTAAGATCAAGTGTTGAGTAGGTTTGGGAGGTGCCAGCCATGGCACATTGGACTGTGGTTGCCTTGAGGGCAAAGTTTCCTACAGGCTGGCTTCAGGCCAGGCAGAGTTCCCATCGTTGGGGGGTCTTGGGCTCTCCATTTAGATCCAGAGCCTCTGCAGGATGAATTGGACCCTGAGGAACGTTCCCAGGCTGAGCCTCTTCCTGGACTTCCATGGCAGGTCCCTATGCAGGTGTGACCCTAGGGGCAAGCTTTCATCTCCAAGGGACACACAGGTCTCATTCTCCTGGGATGTGGCCCAATCAGCTATTGGAAAATCTCTCACTGAAGACAAGTAGGTTGGAACCCTACTTTTCGCAAAAATTATTTCCCAGCTAGAAGAGCCCCTAGCAATCTAGTCCATCCTGAGAGTATTTGCTCATGAACTGCTCCTTCCACCACCTGATTAGAAGGAAATGCTGATGGTATCTGTCTAAAGCCCCTATCCTCTCTCAACACATTCTGTGGGCCAGAACGGGGGTTCTTTTGGGCTGATGCTTTCTGTGTGAAGCAGAGCTTGTGACACTGTCCTGCACACTGGAACTGCCTATGGAGCTTGCAGAGGTCCTGCTGCTCCTTGTCTGCAGGGTATGGGACATGGTGCAGGCTGGACTTCAGTAGTTTTAGAAGATCCCTAGCAATTCTCATGTGCAGTGTGTCTGGCAACCATGGTCCTAAAGCCACTGGAGCTTCTCAGCAATACCATGTCTCCTGCCTGTGAGGACACTGGAAAAGAGGAGCTTGATGATTGTTGAGTCTGTCACAGTCAAGATCCTCTGAAGTGGTTGCCTTTTATACACAGCAGTTCAAAGCCATGAGTGATACCATGAATGGAGCACTGAATGGAGCCATGATTGGAACCATAAATGATGCCATGAATGGAGTCATGAGTGGAGCCATGAATGGCAGTCTCTTAGGGTACAGAGGAGAAAAGCAATTCCCTTCTTCTGGGGAGAGGGATAACTTGTAGGAAGAAAATCCTGAAAAGGGGTCCTGGGATGTACCCACCATTATGTACATGATGAGCTGAAGGGATATGTATGCACAAATGTGGATGTATATATGCGTCCCTATAGGTGTGTACATGTGTGCTCAGGAATGCATGTGTGTTTGTATATGCATACAGGTATCTGAATACATGCTTGTGTTTGTGTATGAATACATGCATGTGCAACTAGGGCAGGAGGAAATATAGATGCCCAAGGCTCAAATGCCCTCAAAGCTATATTGGCTTTACTGTACAGCTAACAGAGAGCCACATAAATGCTTTTAAACAGGGGAAGGATGCATCGGATTATGCAAGGAATTCCTGCAGTTAGTGTGGTGGATGGAGTACCCATTGATAAATAGGGCTGGTAGAAATGTATTGCACAGGAGTGATAAAGGCTAGTCCCAAGGCAGGGGAATTAGGGATATGGGGACAAGGTTAGAGACATCTGCAGGACATGGTGACACATCAGTGTTGTTGGCAGTAACTGTGTACCAGCTCTAAAGGCTTTGCATACACTCTCAGGGAGGCATTACCATTCCCAATTTATAGCAGAAGAAGCTGGGGTTTGCAGAGGTTAGTAATTTGCACATATTCAAGCAACATTAAAATGCAAGACCAGGAATGATCTGTCTCTCTCTGACCCCAACAGGAGCTCTCAGCCTTGATTTCCACCACATGCCATGAGTCTAAAACCCTGCGACCAAGCAGAGGCTAGCGGAGAGTGGGAGCTCCCATGACTGCGAGTGGTAGTAGAGTGGCAGGTAGATGACATTTAGGCCCCAGGAGAGCAGGAGTGGGAAGGGTTTTTGTGGGGCACTCTGAGTAGTTGAGATCTAGGTTTGGCACTTAGAGGCTGTGGCTAGGTAGAACTTTTTGAAAGTCAGAAATAAACAAATGGCCATCCATATCTTGGGATGATATTATGCTTGTCCAGCAGACCTTCAAGACAAGTTGTAAGCACCCCATGCATGTTGATGTATTCTTAGCAGTACCTCTTTGCACATGAAACTTTGTCGTACCTGAGGGCAAGCAGATGCAGAAGAATCCTGGTAACAGGTCAGTTCTTTGGACAGGGAGAAGGATGAGTCACCAGAGGACCCTGGACCACATTCATGCCCAAGACCCATCCCAACCAGATTAGAATCTCCGTCAAAGGCAATGTAAGAGTAAAAGCTGGATCACAGTCCAGGCTAGGCATCAGAATCCTCTTGGGAGTTTTGTTTGTTTCTTTGTGAATACCAATCCTTGAGTCTCAGCCCAAGGATTCTGCTCCTATTGGCTAGAGAGGGAGTTAGGTATTGCCCAAGGTTCTCCAGTGATTCTAACATAAAACAAGACTGAGAAGCAACAATGGGCAGGTGAAAGATATAGATACCTGAGTCACATATACAGGCCACCGCTCCATGGTAAGCAAGACCCACTGTTGCCTGGAAGGCTTCCCACTAGCCTCAGACTGTACAGAAGGAAGAGAACATGAGTTCTTCTCAGGCCTCAGGAATCTAAAGGAATGATGAACTATATTAAAACCAAACTGGAAATTACTGACACCTCTTGTTAAAATGTTTCAGCCCTGTGTGTTTTTTGTTTTTGTTTTTGTTTTTGTTTTTTGCCGGTACCAGGAGTTGAACTCACAACCTTGCGCTTGCCAGGCAGCCACTGTGCCACTGAGCTAAATCCCCAGCCCCAGCCCTGTGTGTTTTGGCCCTCTGTGTTTATATGTCTTTGCATATTGTTCTAGGTTATATCTTGCTTCAGTGCACAAAACCAAAAATGAGCAATTGGGGGTTTGTTAATAATTTGCACTGGAAATTAAACAAGAATCCTGATGGATTTAATCGGGTGTTTCAGCCTGCTTTTTCTTATGTTTCTTGTGGGTACACAGACAATTCGCTGAGCACACAGATGTGTCTGGCTCTGGCACTGCTACCCATATCCAACAGCCCCCAGAGACCCTACTGGAGATACCCAAGCTCCTTGGCAGACTCTCTGTGTCCAAGTCTGTTGATGGATGAACCTGGTTCTGTGGGGTGTTCCAAATTTCAGTTTTGCAATTCTACATGTGGGAAAGCCTAGGTCCAGAAAGCAATGGCTATCCCAGTGGTCACTTCCTCATTTGCTGGCATCTTGGCTCTGCTGGGCCCTTCTAAATTAGAACTACTTGGCTGTATTGGCTTGGAGAGTGGGAAGGACGTCCCAGAATGGAGAAGATACAGAAGTGTTTTAGTGACAAAGGTGACATTGTGAAACATTCAGGAAATCCCCGTAAGTGAAACACAAAACACATGTTTGATACTCATGCTTTTAGGCCAAACTACCAGGCATTCTCTTCCAGTCCTGATTAAATCACAGCCAGCAGAGTATGCACTTGTGATAAAGTGACCACTGTAGCTGTGGCATGTTAAGCCTTCACTCTAGCCCATCCCTCTTACTTATTAGTAAGTTTGCACCTGCTGGGAATTATTTAGGGCTCAACTTCACTGACTGTTATGGTTGAGATCCATCATGTCCCCCTCAAATGGCCCACTCTGTTGAAGGCTTTGTTGCTAGCTGATGGGCTTTTGGGAAGTGATTTGACCATAAGGGCTCTAATTTTATCAATAGGTTAATCCATGAATGAGATCATGTGATGGCAGTATTGAGAGATTATGGGAAGGGGAAGAGGAAGTGGAGCCTCACTGAAGGGAACAGATCACGGAGGTGTGGTCTTGGGGGCTATAGGTTGTCCGTGGCCCCTTCCTCTCTGGCTTGTCTTACCTACTCTGCTTCCGGACTGCTATGTGGTAAACAGCTTTCTTCCTCCTCCACACTCTTCTGCCAGACATTCTGCCTTATGTCAGGCCCCAAGTAATGGAAACAACCAACCATGGACTGACTTCTCTGAAACTATGAACTAAAATGAACCTTTCCTTCTCTAAATTGTTTTTCTTGGGTATTTTGTCACAATGATAATAAGCCGACTAACACAGTAAAGCTCTGTGGAAGGACTTATCTTCTGCATATTCAATTTCTTTGGGCATTTTTGCTCATATGACATCTTCTTCCCCTCTCATCCTAAGCCCATTATCTGAAAGATGCAAGTTGATGCCACCCCCTTATTTCAGATCCACTCTTTCTAGAAGTCTTCCGTGGCCCCTCCAAAACAGCATCCTTGGACTTCCTGTTTGCACCAGTGCTTGGCAGGCCATTGTATCACAATTACTGGAATAATGGTGCAGTGTCCCCTGCTGTAAGCCATCTGGTAGCCTCTGAGAAGCTAAACAAGAGTAAGGACATTCTAATTTTTGTCTTCTAGGTTTATGCCAAGCCTAATCCACAGCAAGAGCTGAGCAAATACATGTGACTATTGTGTAAATGACTCAGCAGGCCCATATATATTCTGGGAGTCCTAAGCCAGGCAGGCGGCTGCCAAGTTCCATTTTTCCTGCAGAAGCCTGCGAGCTGCTCTCTGCGCCTGGGGTCACATGAGTCTCAGCATTTGTAGAGGGGGGCATGTTACTTAGTAGTTCAAAACGTGGCATCACAGTCACTTTACCTGTGTTCAAGTTCAGCCATGCAGTCATGACACTGAGTGATTTATCTGATCTCTCCCAGTCTCAATGCCCTTGACTTTATTTTTATTTATTTTTGATACCAGGAATCAAACTCAGGACCTTGTGCTTGCCAGGCAAGCACTTATGCCGCTGAGCTATATCCCCAGCTGCCCTTGACTTTAAAGTGGGAACAAGTGTAGTTTGCAACTCATACAGTCATTCTGAGAACTAAGCTGAGTTGCAAAAAGTACCTTAGCATCAGGCCTGGAGCATAGTAGAACATAGTAGCATTAGTTATTGTTAGCTGTGTTCATTGTTACTGACAATAACCAACAGGAACTCAGAGGCAACCATGGAAGAATATACAGAGCCAGCAGTAGAGGGACCATGAATGAATAATGGCTTGATGTAAGTTTAGCACACACGGCAGTTAATCGATGGTACTAACTTTAAGAGGGGGGCTGTATGTTATATTCTGCTTAGGAAGACAACTGTCCTAGCACACGGTTTGACAGCACTCATAGGTAGCAATTCAAACCCCTTCATTATTATAAAAAGCTCCCTGATTAATAAGCAACAAAGCTGGTGCTGAGGAACAATGACAAATTAGCCTCTTGCAGACTTTAGTTCCTGTGTTCACGCAATACTCCTGCACAGCAGTGTCCTCACATAACAACTCTAGAGCCCTCTCAAGGTATCTGGCCCTGAAAATGTCTCTTAGCAAGCTGATGTAAGCTTCAGCATGGGATTGCCTATATTTCTGCTTTCTGACCACTGTCACCTTTGTATAGGATACAGCTGAAAATGTAATCTCACAAAGGACCCAGCCAAACATGTGCATATGGAGCTCAAGGCAGTCCAAGAACTTAATTTTGCCTCAGATGCCTGGCAAAAGGAGCTTGCAAGTAGATACCACAGGTCAAACGATTCTTGATTAAAAACATACTATTGGGCAGCATTTCGGATATGTAATTGTCTCATTAAATTATTAATGTAATTGTTATCTGTTTGGAACTAAGCTGAATCACTGCGATCATCAGTGTATTCTTCTGCTGACCCGGTGCTCACCATATGACTATTGGAGCCAATGAGGAAAAAGATGAGCTGCCTTACATGGGTTAGACTCTGGGGTCAGATGTTCATCTTTGGGGAATTTCTTGAACTTTAACTTACTGCGTTGGAATGGTGCTTAACTCTCAAATGTGGAGCTTCTATGAATTTTGTTACATGCTAGCCAGATGCTTCTAGCAACTACAGATAGAACTTAGAGTTTGGCCTTGGATCAGCCTGCTATCTCTAGACACATTTTACTCCTTGGCTACCTGGAGTCTCAGAAGATAAGGACATTTTCTTGCATGCTCCTTCGTATATCGTAGGCATTAAAAAAATTTACAAGCAACCAGGTAACCCTGTGTCCTTCCCCCCTCAACTGTTATTGCAGAGCAGTCTGCCTGTCAGAGGGATGTACATGGCATAGTGAGGTAGTTGAGGACAACAGGAAATTCATTCCTCTGCTCCAGTCCCTCATGTTGCCCATCTAGACTTAGGTGAGACAGAAGCATCACTCGGCCACTGGAGCACTGGTTTTTCCCTCCTGCCTCAAGACAATCTCCTGGAAAACATAGGCTATAGGTTGAAGCTGTGATGGCCTGAAGGTGGGGTATGAAGAGCGATAAGAAGAGTAGCTTCCTGTGGTGTGCCTGAAGCTTTGCCTCACGAGAAGGGCTTCCTTTAGCACATCTTTCCATATCACCAGTGTTGAGCTAACTTCTGGCAGAGGGGAGAAGAGTCATTAAAGTTCCTAAAGAAAGGCTCCATTCATGCCTTTAGTATCCTGAAGGATTTTGACTTGTTCATTTAATTAAAGCCTCCTACATTGATTGTAGGTGACAGAACATGATAGTGTCAGCCAAAGCTGAGTCTTTGCTGAAAAATTAATACAGATTCATTTTCAGTACCTCATAGGCAGAACATTTTGCTTAAAATGAACAAATTATTGTCCTTGGCAGAAGTGTCTAAAAGATCCTAATCCACTCATTGTTTTTCTTGCAGTGGATATTAACTGGCAGGCTTTAGCTCTAATGTACATCTATGTGCACATTTAAATCACCAATGAATCATCTGAAATGAGTTTTCATGCAATTACAGAAAAACAGTAAAAAGGCTAATAACTGTAGTGTCTAATCAGTAAACATTTGAGAATCCAGTTAATGCATCACTTTGCATCAAGAACTTCAGATATTTCTTAAATTCTAATGCCACATGCATAAAGGCACAAAGATGGTGTTCTCATGTATGCCAGCAAACTTCAAGCAAGGCAATCTGTTCGGATTTTCAAGTTCTCACTAATGTGATACTTCAAGAATGTCTGGTTTCCTCAGTTTTACAGATCACTGAACATTCGAATAGTGTTGGTAGGGGTGGAAGTGTGGAATGACATCGACAAATGCCCTATAAGTCAGGACCCGTTTACCAGCCTCCATGAGTTTCTCGACTGGAGGAAGATGAAGCTTCTACCTCGCAAATCCCATGACAATGCACAGCTTATCAGGTAGGTTTTTCTGACTCCCTTTTGCTTAAAGAAATTGTGTCCTTTGCACAACCTGTCCTCCTAGCTGCTTCTGCACAGCCCCAAAGCTCCAATCCCTTCTGTAGGGCACACGGCTCCCACAAGGGGCCTTTTACCCCACGTCGGTGGGGCAGCACCATCCATATCTGGAATCACAGGTCTGTTAGGAAAGTTCCCTTGCATACCTGGGAAGTCTGTCTCTCTGCAGAAGTATCATTGTCTTCTTCCATAACTTGGACGTTTTCTTCTATACTAGCTTTCTGCTCTTAGTCTTGATATAAAATTGTCCTGATAGGCTATTTTTTAAAAAGGCCCATTTTCTTTTATGTATTATTAATGAAAACTACATGTTTATACAAGACTTAAGGACAGACATTTGGTTGACTATTGTCAGATGCCCAGAGAAGAAAAGCTCTCATTGCTTCTCTGAGCTGTTGCTGCCTGGCTCCCCAGTTCAGAGTCCCAGCAGTGTAGTGCACGACTTTGTGTCCTGTGTTTAATCGGTACATATTGACCACGTGGTAGGAAACAGAGTGTGCTACGGAGGTGTAGAACTTCATGATGACCAACATGTACATTCCTTGCTCTGGAAAGTCTCCAGTCTATTGAGAAGATAACGGAACTCAAGAAAATTTCAGAGAATAACTTGTGTTGAAAAGTTAATAAAAATGAAGGAAAGCATAGCTATAACTTCACATAATGTATGATGGGATGTTACAACACCTTTATAATTCAAAGAAAAGAGCATCCTTATTATAGTCTGAACTGGTACAAAGTATATGTTTCCAAAGGTGGCAGTTGTTCATTTGGATCTTCAAGCAGTTTATGCCATGATTCTTCTATGTTCATATGACTTACTTTATGGAAGCAAAAGCTTCAGGGTCAGAGGGCATTTTCTTTGGCAAGTCAGATCTGGCTTATTGAACATCTATGGAAAGTCAAAAACCAGTCCTATGCCATTCTCACATTAGAAACTGTCTATATTTGCACGGAGGCTGCTGGCACCCCCTAGTCATCTATTTTGGTCATTTTCATGGTGGGGGGTTTCCTTCCTTGGGTATTTGTGGTTGCCTCATATTTTATGCATTGATTAGTTCTGAATTATTAAAATAGATTTCATATATTTTGAGTCCAAGTGTTTTTGTTTTGATTTTTTCCCCCACTGGAATCTGTCCAATTTGAACATCTGGAAATAAATTAACATCTTCTATAACCTTATTACTTATAGACATGTGTAGTTCTATCTATTCATATGGTTTATATTGAATGTAAACACAAATGCTGAAATCCTTAGTGCTGCAAATATGCGACCCTCCATATCTTCTGAGGGTTCTATATCTATGAATTTGCTCAGACAGAAAATATGCATGAAAAAACTACATCTGTACTGAACATGTTTAGACTTTTTTCATTATTCCCTAAACAGTACAGAATAACAACTATTTACATCACATTTACATTGCATTAGGTATTATAAGTAATCTAGAGATTATTTAAATTATATGAGAGGGTATGTGTAGGTTACAGGCAAATATATTATCATTTTATATAAGGGACTTGAGCATCTGTAACCTTTTATGGAGGGAAGAGGGGTCTGGAACCAATCCCTCATGGATACCAAGAGATGATTGCAAGGGGATGGGTAGATAGATAGATAGATAGATAGATAGATAGATAGATAGATAGATAAGGGGTTTTTATACATTTACTGTCTCTGTCCAACTGGCCACAGCTAAAATATCTCATTTTTCCAACAATATTCACATTAGCTGTACATGCACGTGACCAATACAGCATGAGTAAGTTGATCGATTTCTCAAAAGTAGAGTCAAAATATATGATTGGATTTAACACCATATGTATTGAACAGGTCCCTCCTATCATTAGATTCATGAGCAGATTAAGATTTTAGATAGGAGGAAGCCTAAGCTGAAGCCTCAAGCCCCCTTCCAGAAGCTTCCTCCTGGATGCCGAGGTTTTGTATGTTCTTACTTATTCCACCCTGGATCCAGGACAAAAATCCCTTTTCTGCCCCTTTCAACTTGACAAGCTATATTGGCAGGACACTTTGAAGGTGTTCAGATCTCCAGCAGGACCGCAGTGAGTTACACAGGAAAGCAAAATTCAGCTATGACAGAAATGTACTAATGCACCTAATGTATTTCCTTACCGGCAATGATTCTCAGTGCCTGTCTTTGGCCTCTCTGTCAGCAAGTATCATTTGAAAGGAGCAGCCCCCTCTATCAGAAAATAGGCAGGCAGTGACCTATAAAAGCGAAATAATAACTGATTTCTGTCTGAGTCTAGACAACAACATTCTACAAGAATCATGGAACCATGATGCAACTGGAAATAAAATGTAAAGAGAAAAACCCAAAAATCACATGTGAGCATAACTCTCATGCAGCTGTTTTCACAGTTGCATATTCTGTTGCTAGCATGCCAACAGAATTTTAAATATCGCAAAATGCATGCACTCTACATGATACTAAAGAAAGTCTTTCTTTTTGTTTCCTAGTGGGGTTTATTTTCAAGGGACCACCATTGGCATGGCACCAATCATGAGCATGTGCACTGCAGAACAGTCCGGAGGAGTTGTCATGGTAAGCTGAGGACCCCGTAGAGCTGGCTTCTCTTGGTAATGTTTCCCCAGGAAATCCCTACTCTTGTCAGAGATTGTAAACTTAGCTCCTTTAAGGTTCCTTTTAACACTGTTCTTACCCTAGCCATGTTTATAATCATGTATAGGCCACAGTATTTTAGGGATTGTTTAGAAAATACAAATTGTACACAGACAAGGTGGGTATGTTAAAAAATTAAATTAAAAAACCTCAGTGGGGGAAATCATCCCCTTTTATGGTGAAAAATTTGCTGCTGGAACTTTTGGTCAAAGCATTCCAATCCCCAGATTCCTCCTAGTACTGGGATGAGCCAGGGCTTTGGGGTTGCCCTTATCACTCAGCTTTTTGGACAGACTGTGGTCTGACCAAATGTTACTGTTCAAGTAATTTTCTGATGGTTCTGCCTGGGCCCAACAGCCAAAAGTCTGAGGTTTTTAACTCTACCACTGCAAATGCTTTACATACCTTCTGGCCAGTGTACCATTTGTCTCTAAAATAACCTTATTCTTGGAAGGCAAAGACCTTGGGTTTATTGCTTTACAAGGATAACTTTCTTACATATGGCCTATATATGTTTGTAAAAGGAAACAAAATGGGAAGAATATTTGGGGTTTCTTACGATTTTCAGAGGGAGGGCACTTTGATAGGCTGCCCAACAGGGAGCTCCTCCTGCAGCCCCTCAGATTGTTCGAGAAGGGTTTTTCACTCTGCTGTCTCTGCTCTGAAAAATCTAGCATTCCCCAAACCAGCCCTCAGACGGGGAGTATCCTCAGAGTCCTTCCTCCATCTCTATTAAACAAACATAGCTTTGCCCTCCCAGGAAACCGTGGGTTCCTCCACATTTTTCAAACAGAATGTTTGTGAATGTGCAGTTGTAGTGAAGAGTGAAAGGAGTTATGTTCTGCTGACTGTTATTTTCTCTCCACATTCTGCCTAATCTAATCTTCTTAGTGAACATACATAAACATTTTCCTCCTCTCTGGGTGCAGTGGTTGGTAATTAATGTAAGCATGCACTCAGCGGGTAGGCTATTGGAGGGGACTGCACCCACTCTGGACCACTGGCTTGAACGTGCCCCCTGGTTTCCTTTCAAGAGGAAAACCCCGAAGGTGATCTCCACCACAGAAGTCATTGGAAAGTCTGGTTTTTGTTGGTGCCAGGTTAATTTCAAGTCAGATGACAACTGTATTTTCACCAAGTAGCCTGTGAAATTTTAAGAGGGAATAATTTTCAGTTTCATGGTTCCATGGTTAGTTGCTACTGACTTTCCCACTTAAAATTGGCAAAAATATATTTCGAGAGCTGGAGCTGAACTCTTCATAATCAAGGCAGCGCCTGCTGCTGTGTGGTGCTGACGCGATCCTGCAACCCATCTGAGCATGTTAAGTGGCTTCTTGAGCTTCAGTCCCTTATTCTTTCCATTGAACCATTTTATCAAGATTCCTTCTTTAAAAGTATATAGGCAAACACATTTTTTTAAACTGTCTGAAAAAGAATATGAGAAATATGAAGCAATTTCATGTACAATGCCATGAAAATCAAGTCAAAGCCAAAGTTAATTATAAAGAAATAAGTCTTGCCAATATGAGAGCAGTAAACATTATCTTTAGACAAATTTCTTATTTATCCCACACATAAGAGAAGTATCGAATAGGGTGAATAATGCACACAGCACTTTTTATTTCTATAAGAATTCATGAAAAGAGCAAAATCAATGTCCCTACAAGATCTAAAATTTCTATACTTTCTCTTATTGTATCTCGAAGGTGAAATTGGGTACTACAGTAAGTCCCTGATTTATAAACATTTGAGTTGTGAACTCTCGGAGATATAGGTGTGAACAAATCAGAGAAGTAGCTCCTGTGTCTGCCGGACACTATCACGGTCATGCTGCTGCGTGCGTCCTGTACAGTGCTGTAGTCCACAGCATTGCAGGGCTCAGTCAGAGCCCAGGACATTGGGAAGCAAGAGGAAAAGCAGTGGCGGCGTGGAGGAGACTGCTAGGAAGCGCAAAGCAATACACATATCTGTGTCAAAGGTGTATAAAACTCACTTTGTCAGACTTAATGAACATTCTCCTAGAACAGAATTCATTTGTAAGTCGGGAACTTACTGTACATGTGACTCATAAGGGAAAATCTAAGAGAAAGGAAATAATGTGGCAAGGAAGGAGAAATCTTCATAAAATTCAAAATACTATTTCTAGTCCTGCTTCTCCATTTTTTCAAGATAGAGCAAATCATTAATTTTAGTTACATGAAAGCCATGCCTTTATATCTACCTGTTCACAAAATGCTCTGACTTGGAGATAATACCATAAATAAAAGACTGATTTTTTTTCCTTGTTAAAAATGTAAACTATCAGAGTCTCTTAAGAGACATTCTGTTTATCATTACTTATGCATGAATGAATGTACCATAACTTGATAATCTAAAAACTGTGATATTCAGTGATACAAAAGTATTCTTTGAGAATGAATAGCTTGAATTTTATGTCAAAACATGCTAAGTTCAGCCCTCTACATTTTTAGATTAGCCACATTCTCTTCACCCAGTGTGTGTTATTCTTAAGAATTGATTTCCTGAAACATATTTGTAATGTTTTCTACAACAGGAAACTGTGTAATCTAAACAAAATAATTTATTAGGAATTTCATCTGTTCTAAGAATAACTGGATTCCTTAGCATGCCATTCTTTTCATAGCCTGAGGGCTTGTGAGAGAGATAGCTACAGTCACACACAAATCTCTGAGAACCTACCGGAACATACCTTTAACCAGAGACCTCACAAAGACTACCTACGTCAGGAACAGTGTTCTTTACAGCATCACAGTTTCCTGAATGCCTTTTTGAAAACCTCTTTCCTTGCAGCACAAACCAAGATTCAAGCAAGTGACCCTCCTTACTCCGTTGTGTGCAGGCCTTTTCAAAAATGCCATTCAGGGGCACGATTTCTGCAATCACATCCACTAATTAACGAATTTTAGGTGAGGATATATACCAATATCCTTCAGTTAATTCCTAAGTAGCTACTTGAGTCACACCATCCAGGCACTTCATTAAGTTAGCAGTGGCTAGCAGTGCTTACTCAAGAGAGAAAACACCTCCCACAGCCAGGCAAAAGCTTAAATGAACCCCAACAGTAGTCAGAGAATCAGGATACTGCCCATTTCCACAGTCAACCCAACAACCCAAAAGACCAGCGAGAATAAGATATAACTGGATGATCATCTGAACTCAATGAATGAGTCTTTACTCGTGTGTCCAGCTTTTATTATCAGTTATCATGAACTTTCCAAGTATTCTCCTCCTCCAGGTCAACGGGAAGAGACAGGGTCCTTCAGAATTGCTCAGGGCTTGTTTAGAATGTCACAGAGCATGCTTTCTACTGCCAGCTTTGTATCAGTATGCTCTCAGCTGGTGGTAAAATGGTACTTATATATCCTGGGAGCTTATTCTTGCTATGATATAAAACAACTTTTTACTTCATTCGGTGGTATACTATTCTGTGAGAGATGGAAGGATGCATGGTGAAGGTCATTGTCATGATCATTTCATGGAGAATCTTACACATGTACATGACTCCTGTAGTCCTCAGCAGAAGAAAACCCACATTGGTTTAATGCAAGATGTCAGTTTTTTTAACTTGCAAGTAAATAACCGGCCTATACCAGTCCTTCATAGGGAATTTAATTTAGTCAGGTGTTAGTGAGAGGTAAATATCCAAGGAGCAGGGAGGACAGAGACAAAAACGACTGAGGGGATGTGAACTATATGTCTGTGCTCTTGTGTTTTCTTTGAGGACCATTCAGACAGCCCCCTTGGTGCGGCCGTGACCCTGGCACATGAGCTGGGACACAATTTCGGGATGAACCACGACACCCTGGAGAGGGGCTGCAGCTGCAAAATGGCTGCCGATAAAGGAGGCTGCATCATGAACCCTTCCACTGGGCAAGTACCAAGGCTCCCGCAGATTTGAGGGTCATGCGTTGCTTGGAGTATGCACTGGGAAACACTTGAGCAAAACCAAAATATTCTCCCTAGTTTTTTTGCCAGAGTCTCCATGGAAACTTCCAAAAAGAGATTCCTTGTCAAGTCACAAGGCTGGAGCACGCCACTCCGCGGTCATGTGCATCCAGCTTCCAAGGCCCCATGGTGTGAGGGCTGTCCTCTTCCCTGGGAACAGTGGGGATGGGTGCTGTCTTTGTTTAGAAATCACAACCATCAGAAGGCCTTGCAAACCCATTGGACAGTGTTGGATGGACCATGTGTCCAAACAGGATGCTGGAGAGAAGGTGTTTCCTTGCTCATTGTTGGCTCTGGGGCATATTTAATGTTCAGTGGTAGCCTGAGGATTTGTAGTATCCCTGCCCAACACCATATCACCTTACCAGATTTTACAGATTTAAAGAAAATTTTGTTTTGCTTCTGTAAATAAGGTTGTCCTTCCTTACTTAATGCCTTTCTGAAACTTCAGACCTGATTCCACCAGAAAAAAGAAAGTTAATACCACTGGACCCCTTGAATGAGAAAGAAACAGATGCAACCTGGGGTGGTTAGAGATTCAGATGTGCTGTTATACCTTGAGGGACCTATCCCAAACTGCAATGTTGTGCTAATTTAGAGAGATTCTCATTAGTAAGGGAAAATAGGTACAAAATTCAATGCCATCTTCTTATATTAAAACTTTAGAGCTTATAGACACTTACCTTCATGGACCTTTCCAAGTCAGGCCTACTCTCCAGGTTTGCAGAAAGAAGATACAGGGAGCAAAAAGTAAGTGATATCCGGACGGCCCAAAGATAAGCTTCTGCAAAGCCTTACCACAAGGGCACAGCATGGCATGAGGTAAACACCTGTAAAGGTGATCAAAAAGTCCCCAAATAGGGATTGTTACAGATTGTTATGCTTTTACAAGCAATAGCCTGGGGCCTCTTCCCAAATGTGTTCCAGGGCATGCAGTTGCTGCTGTAATAAAGACTGAACAGAATCACACAACCCACTTCAGGTCATTGTCACCTCCTGTGAGCCACTGGTGATGGATCTTACAGCAAGTTACCACTTGCTAGTGTCCACCACCACCATTAGCACGGAGCTTTCCACGTTATCTTTTTCGCTCAGGAGTCTGTCCAGGCATAATTCAAGAGAGTCACCCAAACCTTTTTGAAGGAGCTGATCTCTGAGTCTGTGAGGATGGAAATCAAGGACCTGTGCCCAAAGTGAAAATATCTTAGGCCAGTACCAACAGGAAGTGAAATATTGCGACGCTCTGGATACGAACAGTGGAGCTCTCCAAAAGGGAGACAGGCCACCCTGAAACAGAATGTGCTCTTTGTCATTAAAATGTCTAAACAGAAGTAGCATAACCATTGGACATACAGGGCAAGCAGTTCCTTCTTAGGGTGTGGGGATGCCCCTGAGCCAGGGGCATCTGTGTCCAACATGGCAGGGGCCCAGCAGAGTCTGCAATTTAGGACTCTTTGTGCTTTCTCGTTCTTGTTGAACGCATAAAGTGGCCACGGCAATTTCTTTCTCATTCAAGCACTCCTGTGCCTTTTTTTCCTGATTAACAAGTGGGAACAAATATATTTGTTTATACACATGCACCAGAAATGGTTCCCGGGGACCAAGATCATATTGCCAGTCAGTATTGTTAATGTTTTTAATTCTTGATAATGGAAACAAATGGAAGCAAGGAACCTTTGGAACCCTGGATTGAACTGGAGAAACATGGTAGCTGAAATTCTGATCCACTTGTCTTTAGCAATACAGGCAAATGAACAACCTCTCTGAGCCTTACTGGGGTGCGTCATCAGTAAAATCAGTGGGTCTGTCTTTAAACACCCATCCATCCATCCTCCTAACCACTTATTTGCTCATGTAATAAACAAGTCCTGTGATTTCTGTACTCATGGTTGTGAGGAACCCACAGATAAGGAAGACCCTACAGCCTTAAAAATCATGATCCGGGAGACTGGCTTTCTGGTACTCTGTATCATTTTGTGTAAAGCCCTTACCATTGGCAGATCTTCACAGAGGTGCTGAATGGCAAGCCAAATTACCCTGCAGATATTTGAACACCTCAGGTTGAAATGGTATTGTTAAGCACTCCACAAAACATTTGAAAGGCCTTTTTCCCCTTCGAGAGGATTGCTAATAGGCTTTATTTGATTTATACCTTATTAGCAATTTCTAAGTTTTCTCTTTTGCTGAGCTTGTGCTTTTGAGTAAATCTTTTCTATTTGGTTCTCATTTATGATCCCACATTCCTGTCCAGAGAGTGGTGTTTTTAATTTTCTCAGATGGAAAGCAACTTCCTAAGCAAGTGGGTGAATTAATCACACAAGCCCACAGCGAGGAGGCAGCCAGGCAGCCCCGGCAAGCCCCTACCATCCATCACTCCTGGCGGAATTTCCCAAGCTGCTCCAGCACTATCTCAGATGGTGGTTCCCTTACCTCATGATATCCCCAGGAGAATGGGAAAGTGGATTAAATGAGATCACGTGCCTGTGGACATTACAAATCACTCCCCAAATGCAAGGCAGTGCTACTATCATGTAGTTCACAGGGACATCAGAACTATCAAAAAGTTAACGACTTTTTTCCGAATTCCTACTCCTGGTTGCTGGGAAAGCCTTCTAGTAAAACATAACTGTCACTTGGCAACATGTCCAATTTCATGAGAATGGCTCATTCTAAACCAACCCACATCCCAACAGCAACTTTCCTTCTGACTTCTTCTGTCACTACTGATTTAGCCGTGGAGGCCAGGTATTCCAAATGTGCATTAATTAAGTCTAAGCCCCAAAGGTGACTCAGAAAGAGATGAATCAGTAACTGCTTCACTATTAAAGTCTCAGAATCAAACAGAACCAAGTACCATGGTGATTTAAGGAAGGGGAACATTTCCCCTAGTATACCTGATTTATTCTTTATCAAGCATTTCAGAATCCTAACTGTAAAAACATTAACCAGCTGCCAACACTGATAAAGTGTATGTGAAGGGCTGCAGATCTAACGTAGAGTCGTCTGAATGTGCATGTCATGACTTCTGTGGCAGGATCGGGCAGTGAGGATTTCCTCATGAGTTATACCATTAATTACGGAGAGTCTTTGTTGTGTGTATGAGAGTGTGTGCTTTGTGTCTTTGGATAGTTAACATGTAAGACCTGTCTTGGAAATTGCTCTTTGGCAAATGCTATATCTGGGGGCTGATGTGGGAGTTAAATTCAGGGGAGTCTTCCCATTAGTGCGCTTCTTGGAGCACTTGGTCTTGCAGGACTGAGGGCTGAGTATGCTACATTCATAGGAAAAGAAAATTGTGAGTGGTATGAATGCTTTTGAAGGCAAAGAATATTTAGCATAAGAATAAACATCACATTCTAGGGTGAAAAAAAGCAAGCGTTTGCATTCAAAAATTAGCCTTGTGTATTTTTTAAATTTTTTGCAGAAAACATTCTGTTAACAGCAGAGTTATGGTACCAGGGTCATCTCATCAGGGGAATGTGGCGGGTCTGCCACACCTTAACTGAGCTCTTGCCACACACAGTGCTCTTGGGTAGGTGTTAGGGAGACACCTGTGAACAGGATGGTGCATCTCTTGCCCTCATGGAACATGGGGAGAAAACAGACTGGAAAAAATAGCAAAGAAGACATTGCAGCTTGGAAGGAGTGCTGTGAAGGAAGCAAATAACGAGGGTGAAGGGGATTGAAAATGGGAAGTGGAAGTTGAGGCAAGACCAGAAGGAAGCAGGTAGGGAGCCTGTGAACAGGACTGAAGCAGCGAGTTTAGCTCGGGACACATGTGTTCAATGGCCTGAAGGGGGCTGCCCCGCTGCCAGGAGGCCAGCGGACTGGCCGTGAGAGCAAAGTGCTGCTGGGTGCTGCTGGACAGACATGAAGAGGATCCAGGTCAAGTGAAGCCCAGTGCACCCCGGTAGGAACACGGATTTGGACCTCAAGAGCAGTGGAAAATCACTGAGCATTTTCTGCTCACACAGGAATATGATCGATTCGTCAAGTTCCCTCAGTTTTTAGGGGATCGTGTAACAGCTGAGCCGCGGTAGCTTGCCAAATGAAGAGGCTTTCTGTAAAAGCAAAAGCACTAGCATATAAACTGTAATTTTATTTTTAAGCGTAATTAATAGGCATTCGTAAACCGTGAAGAGGAAGGATTCTGCATTCGTCCCTAAGGTTGGAGCACACGTACACTTACACATCCAGCTGTCAGGGCTTGTTCACTCACTGTGAGAATATTCTGTGTAAGATTCTCTTTCCCATCCCTGCAGGAGATGTCCTTTAGGGACTCAACCAAAAAGCCCCCAGAAAGTACCTTCCCCTTCTTTTGTGTCATTGGAAATGACGTGCTGCCACCATTTTCACAATGACGTTTAGACTGGGGTTTGGACCAGTTTGGGCTTTGTTTAGTCCAGACTCGCAAATGGCTCCTAAGCATAGAATGTGTCCCCAGCTGCCAACCAGGAACGGAGCACAGAGAACACTGACTGAAAAAATAAACAAGCCAGGGTTATTCCCTGCTCTGCAGAGGTGTAAATAATTCACATTAAGATGAGGTTGAACTTTCAGGAATAACATCCCCACACCAAAATCAAATAACCTCATCGAAGAAAAAAGCCACACCATGCTACTTCCCCCACACTGTGTGTCATTGGTTCATTCAATCCCATGTAACTCAATTCAGGACACATTCCTGGTACACCTCCATGCTACACAACTGTTTGGACTTGCAGCACATCTGGATGAGCCACTGGCTCTGCAGGCCTCCACCCAAGCTCAAGCTTCTCTAATGATAGCTGAGATGACATCTGCCATGCCTCGGACTCAGGACAGCCTCACAGCAGGAAATGGGGCTGACAGAAGAGCAGTGGCTACCGACCAGCACCAAACCACTTATCTACTCAGCCAGGATTTCCTGTGCAGCTACCGCTAGC